ACAATGTACCTACCTATATAGTTTAAGTTTAAAAAATTTGGCTCTCAAAAGAAATTTCAATCGTTGTACTGTTGATATTTGGCTCTGATGTTAATGAGTTTGCCGACCACTGACCTAGGGGATTTGAAGAACATTAAAAGACAAGTCACCTGTCCAAAAATCCCATCTTCCTACAAGTTTGTCTGAAATTTTCCAGTGTTAGTGTTTTCCCTTGGGTAACTATAATTCTAAATGTTAATTTGTCACTTCGTGGATGGGGTAGGTAATAAGTTATGTTATTCATACATATTAGCATTGCTACTCTTTCTAAAGTAGCATGGAATGTGGCCTGGAGGCCATGTAACCTAGGACAAAGGAGTTTTGCTAAGAAAGAAGAGAGAAAATGCTAAGTATGAAGTGTAGTGGGGGTAATCTGCTAAAGTAGGGCTGATGCAAATGGGAATAAACTGAATTATGCCAAAGGAGATGAAGAAGCAGAGCTCCGCGTGGAATTAAAGTGTGGGCACAGTGGGCAGGGGCACACAGGGAGCTGAGGGAACAATGAGAGAGGAAGGCAAGGGACAGTTTTCTGTCCGCTGTGTGTTCACCCAAACCTCCATCTCTGGAGGATCTTAAAGCCGAGACTATAAATGCAAGTCTTCCTATCACTGAGTGACAGTGGAGTAACGTTTTTATGAAGTTTGAAAATCAACTAGAGTAATGTGTGGCCCAAGACAGTGTTTATGTTGAATTTTAATAAGAAACATATCAATGCTTTGAAACAGAAATACTTAACTTTTCAAATATTGTTAATGTAAGTTAGTAGCACTTGCACTTCTGAAGTGATTTAAGCTAAAACCTACACTAAGACTCTTGGGATGCCCTGTTATCTAGATGCAGTAACTTGGTTTTCACGTGTTAGCAAGTATCTTTTGAGAGCCTATGATGTATATACCTTTTAACTTTATATGTATTGTCTTTGGGGGAGGATATTTACAATTTTGATGTGATCAACGTTCTTAATTTTTATGATATATGTATGGGAGAGTTACAGGGGCTGTGATGTGTCTGAGAAATTCTTTAGTATCTTAAAATCATAAAGTTATTCTTCTACAGTTTCCTTTAAAAGTTGTAAAGTTTTGCCTTGAATATTTAGGTGTTCAGTCCTTCTGGAATGGACTGTGTTGGTGTGATGCAGGCTCATAATTAACTTTTTGATTACATCGCCGGCTTATTGTTCTGCTTCTTTTTTTCTCCTTTTCAATGCCATCCATTTCTGTAATTGCTAAATTTCTGTATATATTTGGAATTGTTTCTGGACTGTCTGTCTTATTCAATCTGTGTAATTGCCCTGCTTACATCAGTATTACCCTATTCTAATTGCTATGGTTATGTGAATTTTGCCTTCCCCTTTCCCTCCATCCCTCCCTCCCACCCTTCCTTATTCCTTCTTTCTTCCTTTCATCCACTTCATTGAAGAATGTTTAGATACAATAGAACAATAAATGCCCTCATTATAAGAGTTCAATAATCATGACAAATACATACACTTGTATAATCACAATGCCAATCCAGATATAAAACATTCCCATCACCCCTGAACGTTCCCTTACACTCCTTTATAGTCACAACACCCAACCCTACTCAACAACTGGC